GGGGGGGGGGGGGGGGGGGGGTACACAAATCCATGCATGCCGCAGTCGTTAGACAAGGTGTCTCCAACGCTTCAAAGCCGTACGAGCAAAAACAACACAAAGCGAAAAGTCCACGCACAAGTCATGCAAAGAAAATCGGCGACGAGGAGGATGGAGACCGTTGCAAGCAGTCGACCCCCCTCCTTCTCTGCGTTTGCCGCAACCAAGTAGGGGCCTGCAGGCAGGCGCGTTCGTGACTGAGGCTGCTACAGCGGTACCAGAGAAGCGGTTTGTACCATTGGTACCTTGGTCTGTCTCTCAGACAAGCAGCTAAGCTATTCAATAGCTGCCTCAACCCGCGTAGGTTGTTCGTAAACGAAAAATGTCTTCGCTTTCTCTTCCGGCTTGACTTTCCATCTCTCTTTTTACCTTCCCCCCTCTTCTGCTATCTCTGCCATTGTCTCTCTCTCTCTCTCTCTCTGTCTCAGGCTTTTCCTTCTCTCTCCTTCCACCTTTTCCGTATCTCTCAATATCTCTCCACAGCTCTCTTCTATCTCTTAGGCCTCTGGGGCAATACTTTTTCTCCACATCTTCCCCTTCCTCACATTGAGGTTGTTGATGTGTCGGGCACTTGCTATTCGAGCCTCCATCCTTCGCTCGTAGTTCTCCGTCATGCCCTTCGCATAGCCCGGCGGGCTGCTCCCTCCGGGGCCGATGCGCAGATGACACGTGAATGTGATTGGTCACAAGTCCACGGTGGAGCAGGCGACGGCGGCGACGGCGGCGGTAGCGTCGTGAAGCCGACAGCACATCGGCAGCAGCAGCAGCGGCGGCGGCAGCGGCAGCGGCAGGAGGAAGAGGACTGAAACGCGGGACACAGCACTCCAAACCAAAGAAATTCCGTGAGGCGAACGAGCCTCTGCTCGGACAAAGACTCGTCGGCGACTTCCAAGGCCAAACAAAATTTAGAAAAAAAAGGCATACCTTCCGGCTCACAGTGAAAAAAACGTTCATGATGGTGTTAAATCAAGAATCGAGGATGATCAGCAGGCAATTTTTTTTCAGTTGTTTTCGATCGAACATGGTTGCAATGTTTGCGCAGGAAGGAGCCCGTGAAGTGGTAGTGAGTGACGACGGAAGTCCAGTTGGTCAAGGAGGAGTAGACGTGGAGGAGTGTGCGTAGGATGAACTCGCCTGAGACGGTAGAAAAGGAAATCACGGCGTGGAACTTGATCATGACAACGAATACTTACATGGCCGTCCCGACTCAAATCATCGCTGATGCTATAGCCCTAGTGGGGGTTGGAGACTCTTTCTAGCCTAATGCGAACCACAGGCGAGAGCCGAAACGACGAGATTGACATCGGAGTACCATGCAATCAGCGAGTTCATCCTACGCACACTCCTCCACGTCTACTCCTTCTTGACCAACTGGAATTCTCTGAGACGGTAGAAAAGGAAATCACGGCGTGGAACTTGATCATGACAACGAATACTTACATGGCCGTCCCGACTCAAATCATCGCTGATGCTATAGCCCTAGTGGGGGTTGGAGACTCTTTCTAGCCTAATGCGAACCACAGGCGAGAGCCGAAACGACGAGATTGACATCGGAGTACCATGCAATCAGCGAGTTCATCCTACGCACACTCCTCCACGTCTACTCCTTCTTGACCAACTGGAATTCTCTGAGACGGTAGAAAAGGAAATCACGGCGTGGAACTTGATCATGACAACGAATACTTACATGGCCGTCCCGACTCAAATCATCGCTGATGCTATAGCCCTAGTGGGGGTTGGAGACTCTTTCGAGCCTAATGCGAACCACAGGCAAGAGCCGAAACGACGAGATTGACATCGGAGTACCATGCAATAAAGATAAAAGTAGGGGAAACTCCGCAAAGAGTACTTTGGCAGATTTGCTGTTTCGCGCAGTAGACTAGCTCACACGGCGTCACGTACTCAGACGATGATGCCAACTTGCACGTATTGTACAATCTATCTTCCGCAGCATGGACTTCTCCATCTTGTATTCGGAAGAGAGATTGTACAATACGTGCAAGTTGGCATCATCGTCTGAGTACGTGACGCCGTGTGAGGCTAGTCTACTGCGCGAAACAGCGCAAAGTACTCTTGCGGAGTTTCCCCTACTTTCATCTTTATTGCATGGTACTCCGATGTCAATCTCGTCGCTTCGGCTCTCGCCTGTGGTTCGCAGTAGGCTAGCAAGAGTCTCCAACCCCCACTAGGGCTATACCATCAGCGATGATTTGAGTCGGGACGGCCATGAAAGGAATCATCGTCATGATCAAGTTCCACGCCGTGATTTCCTTTTCTACCGTCTCAGGCGAGTTCATCCTACGCACACTCCTCCACGTCTACTCCTCCTTGACCAACTGGACTTCCGTCGTCACTCACTACCACTTCACGGGCTCCTTCCTGCGCAAACATTGCAACCATGTTCGATCGAAAATAATCGAAAACAATCCTTCCCTCGGTTGGCGGCGGCAGCGGCAGCGGCAGCGGCAGCGGCAGGAGGAAGAGGACTGAAACGCAGGACACAGCACTCTAAACTAGAAAAAATCCGTGAGACGAACGAGCCTTTGCCCGGAACCAGACTCGTCGGCGGCTTGCTAGGCCAAATAATTTTCGAAAAAAACGATATGACTTCCGGCTGGCTAACAATGGAAAAAGCGTTGATGATGGTGTTCAATCAGGAATGCAAAAAGTGAACCGCTAGGACATGATCATGGAGCAGCAGCGACATCGCGCGCGTTACTAGACACACATGCCCAGATCTGCTGCTGGGACCGCGCGCGGTCAAACACCGCAGCAGCGGCGGCGCCCATCGTTCCGCCGCACCTTCCTCCTCCCCCGCCCCCGGGCTGGGCCGATTTCCAAGAGAACGAGGCATCTTGGTTGTACCCGATGTTCTTGAACAGCCGGTCGTGCATGGCTTGGTCCATGAACGTGCCCCGGACACCGTTGTGGTACGTTCGCGGAACCTTCTCCATGGGAAATTTCCGCGCGCGTTCCGCACCACAATCACCACACCCCAAGTCCAGCCGAAGACGACGACGGACCAACAAGAGAGAGCAAACAAGAACAACAGCAACAAAAAGAGAGAAAATGACACAAGAGAAGAGACATTCTGATCAAAAACGCGTTTCATGTTCCGTACGAAGCAGGCTGCATCCCTAGACGAGAGCTACGCCCTGCAAACAGCAAAGTAGAGGGGTGGGGCAGGGGAGGAAGACTTCATACGAGGAGAGTGAGTTTTGTCGAAGTATATATATTATATATATATATATTTTTTTTTCATTGGGGGGGGGGGAACAACATCATCGTACGCACATGCTTTGCTTTCGTTTGTGTTTGGTTACGGAGCGAGCCTTGCAGTTGCCATATTTATTCCTGTGGGTGTCAAGCCTGACGCGGTTCAATCGCTCACTCAACTGCTGGATCAGGCACACCACCATGAGAGGTAACTCCAGAAAATCAGGGGCCAGCAGTCCGAAGCGCTTCGACGTGAAGGCAATAACACAAGAGCCAAACGCAGCACCAGCACCATCACCGTCACCAAGAAGCAACTCTACATATCGTTTCAGTCTGCCGTTTTCTGCGCCATCAAAACGACGGGCCGAGTTGCCGTCACCAACGAACAGAGCGCGCATCGCCAAGACAAACGGCCGACACATGATGTACACACGCATCCCAGGTGCGAAGGTGCGAGAGGGTTACTAAACCAGCACGCTAAATACGGCGGCCGGCCCTTCTCACGCCCATCTGCTGCACACGTAAAGGAACAAGAAGGAGAAGAAGAAGAAGAACAACAACAACGCTCTCAAAACACAGATCAATCAAATGATCGAATCTGCCCGGCCACTCTCTAAAACACAAGGCCAGCCCATGCTTGACGTTTATTAAAAAAAAAAATGTTGTTCGATGCGGCAAATAACGCCTCCTTTGAGTTTACCTCGGGGTAGATGCACTCCCTCCCCAGGTGCTGCTTGGGATCTCTCAACCAATGGTCCCAGTGCTGGCTTGGCCACTTGGGTCCAAGCTGGGGGGGAGGACAAAGAAACAAACCCAAACGTGCACACAAACGAGAGCAGGAACATCAGTTAGTGCAAGCTGGGAGGATGATAGAAAAAAAAAAAAACATGTGCACACATACGAGAGCAGGAACATCAGTTGTTGCAGGGTCCACGCCGGGAGGTCAAAAACAAAAATTAAACACATGCACACACCACGAGAGCAGGGACATCAGTTACTTCAGCCCGAAAATAGCCAGTTGAGCCAGTCGAGCTGGACACCACACCGCGAAGCCGCAGCAAGGGGACAAACAAACAAACAAACAACCAAACAAACACACAAGAGCAGGAACAGTTTGTTCACCGGAATAACGCTATTTAGTTTAGCTTGACACAAGCCGCGCCAGAGGGGGGGCGCCTCCACGTGAAAGTGGTTATGCCAAAGCACAGCAGCAGCATCGCCTAACCCTACGGTGGCCTTACCGTCGATCACGCGGTGTATGGGAACATTGATGAAAAACAAAAAAATCCTTCGATAGAAGTTGAGCAGATGTGATGACAATTTTGACAAGGTCATCTCAATAATCACATCAGGTACGATTCCGTCACACGGATACCCCTTTGCAGGCGACTTGATTTCTCCCTCGCCGCTGGAAAATCGTCGTCGGGACATTCAAGACGCGACGTCCCTCAAAACGAGAGCAAGGAACAAGCCAAACTCACCCAAGCACTCGCCAAATCACCGTGCCAAAAAACACACAACACAAGCAAGCTTGATGCGGGCGACATGGGGAAATTAATACTTCTAGACAGGAGCAAGCTTGATACAATAGTGAAATACGGCTACGGCATGGACTACACAGGAGCGAGCTTGATGGTGACATGCGGAAAGGAATACGGCTAAGGCGTGGGTTACGCAGGAGGTGGTGGTTTGTGGCTCGAGGTGAGGAGACCTCCGCCTTCGATGACTGCTGGGTGACGACAGCTACAACAGCAGCAGCAGCAGCAGCAGCTGCGGCGGCGGTACCGCAGACAAGGTAGGGGTGGGTCTGAGAGAATTCAACGAAGTCCCCCCCCGGTTCGCCTACATACATACGTGTACCTCGTCGAAAAGTTTTCTGGTAAGGAGCCAACCCAGGCCCGGGAAGTACAGGGTGCGCTTCAGCTCCGCCTTGTCCGAAACCTTGGCAGAACCGCACAACGAACGAGCACAACAAAGACAAAATAAGTGAGCACATTCTCCCCAAGTTTTACAAAAACCTCATCTTTGGAGGCGAGGACGACGCCTGTTCAACCCCAATCCCAGCAGCGGCACTGTTCTCCCTGTCGTTTGTCTCAGTCAGCAAAAAGAAAATGGCGGTGTCGAAATTGGCGGCGTTGGAACCAACCGCCCGTCTCGTTGAGGGTATTCCGAAAGGGCATGACTACTGCTGAGGTCGTGGCAGCCTCTTGGTCGTGAGGACTAGAATCGGGCATTTACAATCGGTCCAGCGCTGTGTGCGTGGTATCATCTCATGCAGCCTAACTGTAAGTACACCTTTTACATTATCGCGCTCACAAGACTTCCCCACGACTAAATGAAAAACCTGGGAGATAAGAACTTCCGGCTACAAATAACGTCTCCGGCCTCAAATACAAACGCAAGGACTTGACCGTCACAACAGGTGCTCTCTAGAGCCAAACATCATGTACACTAAAAACCGATGTGGTCATTCTTGGGCTACCTACCCCAACAGCACAAACAATGAAAAACCACGAGTACCCTTGGGCAGAAGACGGGGTTCTCCTCATCAAGTAGTGGCGTGGCGCCTTCTTCTCTACCACGGAATTTAGTACCCGCAACCGTTCCACCATTCTCAACTCCTTACTCACTCGCCCTGCTGGCGTACCCAGTACCCCAAACCCTTGCGCAATCCTAAACTCGCTGCTCGCTGCGTCACTCACTCTTCCGGTGTAGCCGTTGTCGTTCCACGCACTAAGCACTAGGGTGGTCGGGTCCCTCTCCAGGACCGGCGCGTTGGTCTCCAGGTACTCAAGGAAGTCGGGCGAGAACAGCAGGTCGTCCTCCACGATCACAACAGCAGGGGCCTTCCACATCCAGCAACACCCAAAATGAAAAAAAAAAAACGACTAGTTTGTGAGGGGGGACAAGGAGGAACACTTGAGAGTGTTGTTGCGGTAAAGGGGGGATCGGTGCCAATATTGCACACGGTCAGGGCGAGAAGTTTGGGGGCTGCTCACGTAACCCAGGGGGTTTTCGTCCAAAGATGCTGAAAACTTTCAGACCGTGGTAAGTGGAGGCATGTCGTGCGTGAGGGCACAGCCAGAAGGATGGTTTCCCGCACACGACAAAGGACGGCAGCCACACACGCCCCCCCAGCATACCCACAAGAACAACAATTGAAAACACAATCAAGTGCGTATAAGGCGGGGGAGGGGACAATTAACAGCGGGTCGTTGGTGTCGTCTGCCATGCCATGCCATGCATACAACATTCATGTGCCGCTGCTTTCACGGAAACATTTGTTTGTCCTGACCGGGAGTCCGAACGCTTGGAAGATGGGTGGCAACGCAAGCCCCTCGAATTGCTAGGGAAATCGGAGGAGAAGCCAACGACGAAAAGGTCCCCGACAGATGCCACACGGACTTCTTCAGCCCATAACTTTATCGGCCGTCACAGGAGATTCTACAGGCATCCCTGCGACCCCTCCTCCCCGCCAATGATCGCCCTCCCTCCACTCTCGTTGTCGTCTTGTGTGTCACCATCACCATCACATCATCCAACAACCCCAACCCTACGGCAGACGCTTCCAACCGATGGGCGAGCTACAATATTGCGACCATTGGGACAATCACATTCGTATTCGATATGGTCCTCATATTTCCGGGCAGAGTGGTATGCAAGCGTTGGTGCCATTCCCTGAAGAATCGTCCCGTACAACTTCATCCCTTACCTTAAAACCGACACTCAGACTTCTCCTGCCTGCCC